TGTCAGCTAAATAAAAGGTGGGAAAACACAAGCTGCAGGTACTTCCAAGGAAAGCAGTTGACTTATTCACCAAAGACCACCTCCGCATCTCACATTTCTGGAGCATCCTCCCTCCCACGGGCAGCAGAAAGTCACGGTTTGATAATTTAAACAGGATTAAAGAGTGTGCATGTAAACACAGTTGTGTGCTTGCAGTGAGGGGACAGTCAGTGCACATCCCAGCAGAGGAGGGGCTTTCCCAGGCAAAACACCTGCGAGAAAGAAAACATTGCTTTCTGTGGGAAAGTAGAGAAGAATGAGATGTGTTTGGAGAAGGGGCTGACTAAAGGCTGCAGTGGATGAACATCCCAAGCCAAGAAGCCATACCTGGCAAATCTGCAGTGATACAACACAGCTGCCAAATTGTCTGGACAGGCACACAATAGTCACCATGCCAGCAAAATCTAGGGTAGAAGGACCAAAGGAAACTGGGCAGAAACTGAGCAGCACAGAGTCAAACAGAGAGAGGGAGACACCAGGGTTAGACGTTTGCACTTGTTAGATCTAAACAAAGATCTAGAAAATCTTCTGAGTCTGCCTTACTACCAGCAGTCTTCTGGCTCTCCCTTTCCACCATGGACAAAGAAAGGTTTCTCATGTGGGTATAATGCCTCACGCTGCACACCAGTTTTCTGAATTCATGAGAAGCTCAAAAATCTTCTCTTCTTTGCTTGCCCAGTTCTTGCCCTATGGCTGTCCCTCCCATCCACTTCCTAGCAGAGCCAACCAGATCTTCACTAGCCCTGTCAAAGCCCCATCCCTGCAGTTTGAGCTGGCAGTGACCCCTCACCTCATTTTCTTACAGAACCAGCTCTTTTTTTTCTATGCACCCGGACAATTTTGCTGTGGTTGCGGAGTAATTGAGAAAAGAAGGGATGATAGGTGTCCCCCAGCCTTCTGTCCAGGGGATACACCATGGGGAGCAGGAAAAAAACTTACCTGGAGGCAGAGCTAAGCAGGGAAACAAGAGGGAGAAGTGGGTAGGGCCACAGAAACAGCACTAAGCCTCCAATCACTACCTACTGCTTCATCAAGAGGGACAGGTAGCCTGCAGCAGGTACTTTCCAGAGTCTTCTGTCAGCAGGATAAGTGTTCTGTTTGCTTGTCCTTCTGGTTTTGTCTTTATCTCCAGTTTTTACTGCTACTGTGCATAAAGAGAAGATGGGTGCATCCGAGGGCAGAGAGGATGGGTCCCCTCTTCCTTTCCAAAGGGTGGGCTAAGCCCTGGGACCTGGGCAAAGGTGCACCTGGCTCGTGGCTGAGCTCACACTGCAATGAGCTGCAGTACCTGCTGCTTCTAAAAACACAAAGCTGAGCCCTGCCTAGGCACAAAGGTCTTCATATCAGGCAAATTCTGGGCTCGATTTGACTCCAGGGACTAGGGCCAGGAGAAGCACACTGGTCCTATGCTCCAGTCCTGGGAATCAGACCACGGAGGTGCAGGCTGGACAATACCACCAGGGACAGTTCAGCTGCAGGAAGGATGGCACCAGCTGCTTCTCAGAACCCCACCACCTGGCTAAGAGTTCTGGCATCTTCCCTCAGGACAAATCTCAGCAGAAAGTGTCCAGACAAGCAGCAAGCAACACTGGTGATGATATGCTGGGAATGAGGTGGGAGCAAGCAGGGGCATGAGGATGAGAGATACCAGGTCTGGATCCTCTCCATCATCCACACCTGTTGTTTAGGCAAGAGCAAACAGCAAAAGGAAACAAAACTAAAGGGTATTTTCCTCACCTGGCTTCCCACCCTTCTCAACCATCCACATGTCCCATCTCCTCACAAGAACCCAAGCAGGTCCCTGAGCTCACACCAGCTGGATGTGCACTGGTGCCAAGGACTCTGTGTCCATGGAGAGCAGACCCTTGCCTTGGTACCGAGGAGAGGAGACCACCAGCATGGGGAACAACTGGCCATTACACTAATAAATGTGCCCAGGACACATTCACAGCTCCTGTTGACTGTTCTGCACCAAGAAGTGATGTGAAGAAGATGACTGAAGGTTGTGAGAGGGGGAACAGCTTTTAGCCCCCACAGTGCTGCTCACCTTTCCTGCCAGTGCTTGTGAGAAGAATGCAGCTGGTTACTCCCCAGTCACTTCAGAAGCAGCATATGCAACACATGAGGGATGCTGACAAGAGAAAAAGCCCATGTACGCTGCCTCTTTGGAGGCAAGGGACAAAACCAGTTCAGTAAAGCCCCCGGAAAGGGTGTTATGGCACCAAGTGAGACCAGCATAGCAGTGCCACTGGTGCCTTGCTCTTGTTGCAGAGAAGCAGATGGGTGTTTTTGCTATGGACCTTCAATCCTACCCTGTGCCAGGTCAGGCCTTGAGAGAGCAGACTGTGCCTGCTGTGTCTGGTGCCCCTTGAACACAGCCTGGGAAGCATCCAAGACCACTTTCATCATGCCAGTGAGATACAAGAGTGCTCTCATGATCCCAGCTGTGAGTCCTGGCTGCCAGGGAACAACCCAAAGCCTGCTCAATTTGCTTGCATAGATGCAGCCTTGTCTTTCTCTCCTCGCCTTGTGTCCAGTCACCAAGAGAGTGGCTGTTCTGTCAGCTCCATACGAAGGCTTTTCAATTATCATACCTTGTTATATCACAACATGTGAAATGCAGGTCCAAGGTTTGGATAAAGGACTACAGGTGTTTCAGCCAATGATCCAGAACACCTCACACCAAAGTGATCCCTGCACGTAGCCCCAGAGCTACTGAGGGTATGTCTGCATTGTACTACAATGGATTCTGCTCCTGCTCCACCAACTCCTGAGGATACAGTCAGGGTAGGAAAAGAGTTGGAAAAACATGTCCGGGAAGAGAGAAACAGAAGGACTTTTTAACTGAAACTAGCTTTTGGCTGGGAACCGAGGTCTTTGACATGACAGTGACTAGCTGCTTTCCCTAAGAAAAGTGGCTGCTTCCCTCTGAAGAGATCGTTGACATTCTGTATCAGAAAAACTCACTCCCCAGCTTACTAAGCACTGGGCCTGGCTTGTTTTAGACAGATTTCCAGGAGTCAGGCTCTGAAGTGGGGACAGCTGCAGGGCTGGAGGACAGGAGCCAAGACAATGTACCTAGTCCAGGAGAGCATCTACTCTCATCCTTCCCTGGGAGTAAGAGCAGCTTGCTGCCAGAGCTGGGACAGGGATCAACACCCACTTGAGAAGGTAGAAATGGCAGAAAAGGACCTGGCAGGGATCTGTGGTGAATGGCTGCATTGCTCTGAGGAGGGCGGGTTTACAGCTCCCAGGAAAGATGGGAGCCATGGGCTTTGCAACCATGCTCTTACAGGCAGGTAGGCCAAGCCATCCCTCAAACTCTGATGGAAGTAGATAAATCTGCTTCCAGCATCTAAGAAGTCAGTGCAAGCCCGTTCTCCCTCAGCTTCTCTGGTCCAGGACACCGTTCTCCTTGTCAGGGTAGCCTGCAGCCAAGGATGAATCTGATCTGTCCCAATCTAAGCCTCTCTGGCAGTCCCTGCCATTCACAGGAACCCTCTCCCTGTGAGCTGCAGCAACTCAGCCTCAGTGCAGATCCATGCCAAGCATGCTCCCTCTCCCCAGCCAAGGTCCCCTCACAAGTCAGCGAGCGAGAAGCGGGAAGGCTTCTGTCCAAGCAAGCTCCAGTTATCCTCATTTCCCACTCATGCTGTTTGTCTTGGCCTCTCTTCCCACATCAACCTTCTCTCTCTTCCTTCTTCTCCCTGGGATTGAATTGCTGGGGCTGTCACTGTAGTTAATGAGCTGGGACAGAGCTGACGCTATGGGAAACTCAGGCTCAGAGTCATCCTAGCTTGGGGCATTGCGTGTGCACACACACCAGGAGTGCCTCAGAGGGGAGAACAATTGAAAAAGAGACAAGCCCCCAGCAAGTGGGCCAGATGACCAGGGGAGGAGAAGGGGTGGAGCTAAGCTTGCATTCAGGAGATCTCAGCAAAAGCGATCAGGTGTCTGGACACTCCCTGGCTTGAACAGCCCCAGTCACCGCACCACCATGGATGCCATACCAAGGAGGCCTGGTGGCCATGTCCCCTCTGCCTTCAAAACCAGTCCCTGGGCCATCTCAGTCCCAGTCTGTTCCCAGGCATGCTGGCTGACACCAAACCTGACTAATTTAATGGTGAGGACAGTCACATTTGACACTGTGGTGCTTGGGAGGAGACAATGGTGCCTGGCTGATGGCCATGCAAATCCTACTTAAGTGTGTTCAGCCCATGCTTCAGCTGGATGGAACAGCTTTGTTCAAAAATCACATGGCCTTGGCAAAAGGGGGTATAAGGACACTTTGAGACAGCAAGACAATAGTCACAGAAGACCCAAAGTTCAGGAGGAAAATGGCCATGGACTCTCATCCCACTGCTGATGACAGGCAGGAGCTGGTGGGCTGCCATCTGTGCCTTATCCACTGATGCTCCCAGGATGTCTTCAGTAGCCTCCATTTCCCCAAAAGCCCTTTCTTCTCATCTGCACTCCAGCTGCTAGCAAGCACCAACCTGCTACACTGTGCCTCACTTTCCATTTACTGCAAGGACAAAGCTCCTGTTCCTGCAGCTGTTTTTCCATGTCCTGTGCTTCTGTGGGAGTTGAAAGCTGGGAAGCTCTGGCCCAGCAGCTGCACTGGCAGGACTGAAGAGGTTTGGGCTGGATGGTGCAATACTGGCATGCTCCCTTCCACCCCATCTCTGCACACATACCCCCCAGGATGTGCTCCAGCAGCCTGGCTGAGCAGTGTAGACCAGAGCACCTGCTTCAACCATGGTGCTGAGAGACTCTCAAGGGAGACCTGCAGCCCAGCTGCTGTAGAACATCCTTCACCCCTGTAAAATGCCTTTCCCACCCCCCACACCCCCAGCACAGCCCCCTTGCCACTGCAGCATGGCAGGCAGTGCTGGTTGCACACCCAACGCTTCACACTGGCTTTCGGACTCAAACAGGGGGCACATCAGCTCCCTGCTGTCTTTTCTTTTTATTTAACAAAATCTCAGCACAATAAAAAAGAGAGAAAAGAAGCAGCATACACACAGAATAGTTGCAATGAACAGATCTAGCAGCAAATAACCTGAGAGCTCCAGGCATGGGCATGGGACAGGGTTTGAAGGTGGTGTCAGGCTGGGGAACTGAGAAGGGGATCAATGTCCCTGAGGAGAGAAGGGGCTAAGAGCGACATCACTGCCTGCTCTGCAGCTGCCAAGTTACTGGCTCTATTTCTACCCTTGCAAGGAAGGGCAGCAAATGGTGTCAGGAAGTCAGGAGTGAGAGAGGAACCACATTGACCATATATTGTCCAAGTGCATCTAAGTTGTGCATGGCTATTGAGGAACATCTCCAGCATTCCCTCCATCCCAACACTGTCCCATCCCAGCAGCCTTTCCCAGGGATGCAGAAGGAGTCATGCTTGGGGCTGACAACGGAAACCAAATGGATCAAACTAGAGCTGGAGGTCACAGCTGCTGTGCTGAAGGGAAGTCTGAGACTGCCCAAACTCGCCTTGCAGATCAGTCCATCAACCAGCTTCCAGGCTACAAAGCCAAAGGAGTCCCACAGCCCTTGGCTCAGCCTGACACAGGTATTTGGGTCACATCAGAGACAGAAGGAAAGGGAGAGAGCAGACAGGGCGCTGCCCAGCCCCACACACTGGCACAAGTCCTGAGGGGTGTCAGCCCTGAGGCTGGAAGTGGAAGCAGGTTGGCTCCATTAGCATCAGATTCACAACTGGGAGCTGGTCCCACTCGAGGTGTTGGTACCAGCCATGGGCTTCTTTGGAGACTATTTGCCCTGGGGTTTGGCCTGGGGAAGTGAAAAACCCAACTGTTATTAGTGTGCAACTCGGGGCAGGAGCCTCTCCAGAGTCTCCTCCTCCACTTTGGACCTGGCAGGGCCTGCAAAATGCCCACTAAACTCATCCCAAGCCCTCCCCATGAAGGTGCACAAACACTAGACTCCAAGCTTCCAGGGTGGAAGCAGGGAAGGGTTTCCTCCCAGTGCTGTTTGCCATGGCACTCATCAGGTTCAGCCAAGAGTGGCACTGGCTGGAAAATAGCCCCAAGGCTTCATTTGTTTGGGGTGGAAGAGGGCCTACAGAGGAGACAGAGAGGCCCCAGTTGGAGGGAGAACAGATGGGGACCAAGACAAAGTATCCATGTCTCAGCAGAGCATGTCCCTTGGCTGCTCTTCCCAGCAGCTCAGTCACACTGGGAAAACCCTGTTTGGCAGTGGATAAATCAATCCCTAGGCTGCCCTCATGCCTGTCTGAGAACAGAGATGGCTCTTACCTTCCTGGCAAAGCTCGCATCCAGCTTCTCTTGGAGACGAATCACCCACGGGGACCGGAGCGGGGCACAGAGGCGCTTGCCCCTTGTGGTGATGAATCTGCCAAGCCCATGGGGGAAAAACAAAATGTAGTAAGTAGGACACCCTGGGGGTGCTTAAGAACAGCTCAAGGTCTCACCCCCTGCCTCCCTCACTCCCCTTCTCCATCTCTACCTTTAGATGACTTTCTTCACTGACTTTTGCCCCATAGCTTCCCATCTCAGCTGGTCCTTCTCTGACTGAGACTCTTGATCCCCAGGATCTCTTTCACAACCCTCCCCATTCGTTTCTCTCTCAAACCCAGCTCAGCATCCTTCCTCCACCCTGCTTCGCCCCCATCCCTGCGTCCCTGCAAGGTCCGTCCCTCGGCCATCACAAGCTCTTGTCCCTCAGCCGTCAGCACTCAGGCTCTTACACTGTAGCAGGGATGTCACAGCCATCCTGCACCAGCTGGAGCCGGTAATCCTGCACTATCCGCCATGGGATGGGCGTCTCCTTTGTCCGCAGGCAGCAGTCGAGGACGTTGTTCCCGCCGTGCACTGGAGAAGGAGGAACACACCACGCAGGCTGAGGTCAGCGGCACCGCTCCCAGCCTCCCCGGAGGGCGAAGGGGCCGCGGTGGAGCCGGGCGACCCGGCTGGGCACACGGGCACCAGCTTTATTGCTGTCACACCTCCATGCCAGGAGCCCTTTGCCTGCCTCCTTCCAACAGAAAGCAAAGGAGATGAGAGACAGCAGACAGGCAGAAGGCAACCCTTCTGCATGACTAGGTCCCTCCTGCATCCCTTTGCTGCACCCCAGCAAGCAAAGCAGGACAGGGGGGTTTTTACTCCGCATCAGGATGCTGCAGTACAGGCACCCATTCCCAAGGGACTGGGGATGACTTCAGCTTTGTTTACTGAGGCAGTCATAGGTTTGGCAGTCACCCCATCACCAGCCCACCCCACACCGATCATTCCTGTGACAGCTGAGGGACGCAACTGCCTGCACTTCTCTGCAGGGAAGGGGATCTCAGTCACGCTAACAGCAAATGCTATACTCACTGCTAATGCCCAACAAGGCTGGCAGTGACCAGGGATGTCTGTAACCCCCTACAGCGAGATGTAGCACAACACCACAAGGTGCCCGGATTCCCCACCTCCGCACCGCAGAGCAGAGGTTCTGGTGTCACCCATCCAGACAGCTGTGACCAGTGCAGACCCCATGTCCAATACCAGCAGCCCCTCAAACAAAGGCCCTGCACTAACACATGCCTTCCCTCCCACTCCCAGTCCTGCCACTTACCCTGAGGCTGCCTCAAGCCAGAGGGTGACAGGGGTGCTCCTGAAGTGTACTAGGAAGAACTGGACCAAAGTTATCCCAGTCCAAATTGTGCAAGCTGGGCTAAGGCACCAGGAGGCAGGATTGCTCCACAGCCTTGCCCAAACACACCTTCCCAGCCCCAGAACTCTGCAGGCCACTGCCTGGACTTCGGGCAAGACAAAGTCCCTCTTGGACAGGCTGCAAGCAGAGGATGCAGGAAGGCTGTGACAGAGCCCCAGCCATGATTCCCTCTAAAACTCTGATGGAAATGCAAAAGAGAGGCAGACACTGAATTCTCTTGCTTCTGCAGGAAAGGCAGTGTGAGAGGTTCCCTCTTACCATCCAGGATACATCCCAGCACCAGGAGACTGAGGCAGAGAAGATGCAGCTGCTGCATTTTGCAGAGGATGGGCTGGAGGCGAAGGAGCTCCAGGCAGGAGAGGTGAGCTCTGAACAGCTTCCCTGCACTCTGCTGCAGCTGCTCCCTGCTGCCTATATACCCTTCCAGCCCGTGGCTTTCACTTTCTTTTGGAGAAGAGGGTTGGGAAGTTGCAACAGGTCTTGCTACAGGCTGGATTTTAATCTTTGAACAGTTCCCAGATATCCCACTGCATTCCCTGCAGTCAGCTGCTCTGTGGTCCCAGAGCCAAATCCTCTCTTTTCCTCCCATCTGCCTGCACTCAGGCCACAGGGGTTTCTGATCAGGACCAGGCAGCTCCAGGGTCTTTACCTTATGAAACATCCCAGGGCCCTGGGATGTCACACAGGTAGTCCCACACCATATATTTCCCAGACCCTTTTCCAAGATATCTCTGGGATATTCACGTTAGATATTGCACAGGCTCAACACTTTGATGCTATGTGGGTAGAACTTTTCTCGACCCAATTTTTGGGGTATATGTAGGTACTGGAGTGATGTCTGTCTCCCCCTTAGCCCCTCCCCATCTGGTTGCAGAAGTCTGGTTGTCTCCTCCTGCCCTTCTCAGTGCCTGTGGGGGGGGCATATGCAAAGCTGGCAGTCAACCTGCTCCACTCCAGGGCTGGGACCTCACATGCCAAAACACAACCAGGTGTCCCAGAAAATGAGCTCAGGGCCAAAGGCAGCTACAAAGCTTCCTGTAAACAGGTTTTCCTCGTGGAGGAGCAGAAATCCCCCAGGGAGGCTGTGTGCATGGCACAGGGTGCCAGCAGCTCACCCTCTGCGTGGGCGCTGCCGAGAGCGAAGAGCGGCGCTCCCGCTTCAGATCTTCACAGGAGAGCAAGGACAGGAGCTGTTCCTTCTTGGGATGGTGACTCACCACTGGGCCAGTGCCAATGCCACCTGAAGGGATGCCCCTTAAACCAGGCTGTTTCAGCCCTGGCCCCTGCTATGTGGGAAGCTGAGAGCATTGGGGTTGTGCAGCCCAGGGAAGGAAGGATGAAGGGGCTCACTGCTGCCAGCAGCTGCCTTGTAGCGGTTTGGAGAGATGCCTGAGCCAGGGTCATCTTTGAGGGGCCCAGGGACATGACAAAATGTAAAGGCAGCAGTTGCACTCAGAAAAATCCCCACTGACAGTAGGAAAAATATTTCCCAACAGGGGTGAACAAATCCTGGAGCAGAGCCTCCATGCCACCAGCTTCTCCCTTGCTCAAGCTCTGGCTTGTCCTTGCACCTCAGTGGAGAGTGCTGTACAGCTCCTTTCCATGTGGACAAATTTCTACCTGGGTACAAGAAAAAAAGCTGTGACCCAGCGACCTCAGTGTGTCCCTTTGCTCCTCTCAACAGTAGGAGATATCTGCTTCTGCTCCTTCCTCCCTCCATGGTAAGAAGCAAGAGGAGACTCCAGCCACGCCACCAGACAAGGTGCTGCATCCCTGCACTGGCACTGGCGCCAGCCTCACATATGGGGTCATCTCCTCCATCAGGAGAGCATTGGCTCTGACTGATACTGTGGTCTGGCAAGCCAGTGCTGTGGTGAAGGGATTAGGCAGGGGTTGATTAGTGTCGGTCATCAGCCCCAGGCTCCCTGCAGGTTTGGGGATGCAGGCTGACTCTGGGACCTGGTCTCCACTTGATCTCCTGCGGGCTGCCAAAGAGATGCCACAGCAGGGAGGATGACAGCTCCTAGCTACTAGTGGCCAGACCTTCAGGAGCAACTGCTCCTAACCCAGAGCTGGCTCTTCACTGGGGGTTGGTCTGACAAAGAACACCCTGCAAAGAGGTCTCGAGAGCTGAGCCTTGACCCACTGGCACAGCCCACACTAATGCTTTTGTTTGGTTTTGCTTTGGCAACAGAACATCGTGACCCCCTCCCTTGCCAGTCAGTCTGCATTTTTTAAGGTGATGCCCAGACAGGGGTCAAGGCAGGGAAGGCTCGACACAATAAATGCATCTGAACTGCTCTCAGCCCTTCAGCTGTGTGAACTTTTTTGCCTTGTTAAATTCTGATAGAAGCATCAAGGGAGATCTGCTCAATTCAGACACACAGAGCCGTGCTCTTAAAAGCATGAGTTTACAGAGGAGGAAGAGCAGTGACAAATTTCTCTTTGCTTTGGTGCCTGAGCACTGCAGTCTGATCTGGCTCAATCAAGTTCAGCTAATTTGGAAATTATGAGTAAGATGGAGCAAGGTGCAAGACAATGTAAGCAGGTCCTAAAGTGGGAAGTCCTGACCCACTGGCAGGGGGTGCTGGGGGTGCTGCCTGACAGCAAACCCTCACTTCCTTGCGTGTTGGGTGGGTTTGGCAAATCCTGGAGCACGACCAAGGGCTGGCAAGGAGTGCTGGGGATCCTGTGCTGTTGGACTCCCCTCCAGGTACTGCTGGGTCCTGGTCCCCAGAGCAAGCAGGGGGGTCTGCAGCCACTTCCCTGGCACAAGGGGCTGCTGCCTGCTGCTGGCTCACAACTGGCTGTACACCAAAAGGACCATGCTGTGTTGGGAATATATCCTCCTGGAAATAGACCCCTTTGGCTGCAGGGGTCCCCCTGCCCCTCAAGCTGCATGCAGCCCCTGCCAACACACAGCAGGAAAGGGAGCCTCTACCTTCTCCTGACAGCTGTCTGGGAACCAAGTGGGTGAAAGCACATCTGCTTCACACGCCTCTGCTCCCCAGGAGGAGCACCAGAGAGTGAGGAAAGGGGCTTTCCGCTCTCACTGTGAAAGGGGAATGTGACATGTTCTCCCTCCTTTACTGAGGTCAGTGAGATTTCTAAGAAAAGAGTGGTCATCTCTGAAGTGCATCCTCGTGGCATGCAGCGAGCTCATCCCCTCCCCCTTGCAGTGCTGAGCTTCAGGGACCAGAAGAGATGGTGCAGATGGGGAAGAGGGGATGTTTCAGGGTCCGTGGTCCCCAGAGACAAACACAGGCAGGGGATTTGGGATGAGGGAAGAGCATTGTGTGCACTGACCCATTTAAGCCTCTTCCACAGCAATTAGGGAGCGTTGGAGCTCCAGCCCCAAGGACACCACAGGCAGCATGAAGCATCCATGAGCACTCACCCTGCAGAAACCTCAAAAATACAGTTGTTAATTAAAGTGGAAATCAAAGGGAATGAATGATGCCTGTTGGAAATACAATCCACCAAAATGTAAACAGACCAGGTGAGTTATCACCTTCATCCCTGGGCTTTTCTCAGGGAGTGCCTGCTGTGCTGCTAGCCTTCTGGAGATGTGAGAGCTGCTGGAGCCCCCAGGACAGCTGCTCCCCAGCATGTCTGGTGGTGGTCTGCTTTCCACCTTCAAGCTACAGAGCTGGAAAGAGGAAAGGGGGAATTTCAGCAAATTCCAGGCACAGCCAGTCCCTGGGGTAGAATCTGGCCTGGCTACATTCACCTGATTGGGAAATACTGGGCAGACATTGCAGCTGCCTCCACTTCCCTTGCAACGCCTGGCTCAAGGCAGTCTCACACATGGCTCCCATCGCATTCCCCGTCCCAGTGGACCACTGGGATTAGGGCCACAGCCAGCCTGTGGAGCTCCAGGACCCAGTAGATCTCCTCTAACTGAGCGAACCCAGTCAATCTGATTCAAATAAAGTTAAGGGGGAAAAAAGAGCATGTCATACCTTTGCCCAGAGGGAGCAAAGATGAACCTGAGGATCTGGCTCTGAAGGAATCAGATGGTGCCAATTCCCGCTCTGTCCCTAACACTCATTGTTTTCAGTGTCATTGATGCTGAGGTCACCAGGAGTGATGAGCAGCGGAACCAAGACCCTTCAGCTGTGTCTTCCTCGACACTCCCAGGCAAACAACCTTCCCCCAGGACCCCTGCAACACACACGTCCCTCAGCATCACCTCAGCTGCAGAGTGTCTCAGCCTGGTGCTTCCTGCAAATGTGTCCAGGGATGCTGCGAATCCCCAAGATGGCAGTGACCATGTGGTATGCCACCAGCCTTGACTCCCTGCCATTATGCTGCCTGATTTCCAACCTCTCCAGAGATTTCAGGAGGGGGTGGCTGGGGAACAGCTTGAAGACCTGTGGAGAAAGAAATTTCCTTACCATCTCCTGTGTGGCTTGGCAGGAAGGATGCCCAGTGGGGCTGCACACCAAATTCACTTGTGGAAAGATCTACAAATACACGGGATAGAACAAAACTTGCTCTCATTGCTCCGTTGGCTCTTAGACTGACATTGGGCAGGGGAGGCTGTGGGGTTCTTGTTTTGTTGCAGCCCTGGGTCAGGGCTCACATTGGCCCCAACACAGCACATCTTCAGATGCTCTTGCACAGCACCTTGGAGAGCTGCAGCCAAGGAGCAGGTCTGCAATGCCCAGCAGGATGGGAGGAAGGCAGAGGGACTTTGGTATCTGGGGAGGTGGGAGGAGAACTGGTAGCATGAGACACCCCAAAGCCAAGGTTCCTCAGACAGCAACACAGAGGATGGGGGAAGGAGGGCACTTTGGAGCTACGTGTCAGTGATGAAAGGGTTGAGAGGAAGCTCTGGGCTGTTCCCTCCAGGACAGGATGTGCACCAAGGGATGGCCAGGACTAGGAAATACCTTGGGGCAGGAAGGGTGAGAGTCCCACTTTCACACCTCTTCCCTTCTCTCAAGACCATGGCAGGCCCTAGGAGGTAAACGTTGGTGGAGAGGGCACCAAAAACCACCTTGAAGCTACTCTTGGAAACTAGAGCCCCTCTAGCACCATGCAGTCCCAAAACCAGCCCTTGGCCCCCACGGGAGGCTGCAGCATAGCCTGTTCCTGCTTCTGGGAAAGGGCATGGGACAGAGGGACAGAGCTGGTGTGCCTGTCTTCAGATGAGCCTTGCTGGAGCTCAGCCCGGCGTCCCAGCCCAGCACGTGTCGCTGCCGGCACAACCCCGGAGCATCAGCTGCACCAGCTAATGACTTGACTTAATCATTTGGCCTGGGGTCAAGACTTTCTTGGCTACACTCTGTTTTCTGTCTGCTGTCACTGAAACCTTTCTGCTCCAGGGTGGCCAAACTTTCCCAACTTTTTACTCTACTTGACA